GGCGTCCGGCCGGCCTGCCTGCCCGCCCCGCCCTGCCCTGCCCTGACCGGCGTGTTGACCGTCCCCTCGCCGACGTCAGCGGCGTCCGGCCGGCCGGCCCTGCCCCGCCCTGCCCTGCCCTGCCCTGCCCTGCCCTGCCCTGCCCTGACCGGCGTGTTGACCGTCCCCTCGCCGACGTCAGCGGCGTCCGGCCGGCCTGCCCTGCCCAGCCCTGCCCTGCCCTGACCGGCGTGTTGACCGTCCCCTCGCCGACGTCAGCGGCGTCCGGCCGGCCGCTCGCGGTCCAATCGCCCGACCAATCGGCGCCATCGCCGGCTTTTTCCGGACCAGCGGCGCGCGCCCCACATTTGCGTGTGAAGCGTATCGCACGCGGCACGACGCGCGCCGCTTATCGCACCCCTCCACCCTTGCCTTATCCCGGGCCGGGCGGCGGCAGCGGCGGCGGCGGCGGCGGCGGAGCGCCCTATCTCCGGGAGGCGCCTCCCCCGCCGAGGCGCGGTCCGGACTGCTGCGCTGCCATTGTGCTGGCCGCAGCCCGCAGCGCTATCGGCTCCACGTCATCCGACCCCTTTATCGCCTCGGGGCAGCCGACCGCAGCAGCGAACGCCTTGGCGATAAGCGGCAGCGGCGGCGGCGGCGGCGGCGGCGGCGGCGACCCCAGCGCCGAGCGATAGCGACCCGTAAAAAGCGCGTGATGTGGAGCAGCTGCTGGCGCGTGATGATACGGCGATGAGCCATCGCGGAAACATCCTCCGGGCTTCTCTGACCACTCCGAAGCGAACGCTATTTATGATGTGGAATTACCAGTCAAAACATGTGCGGATGGTGTGTGGTTAGTGGGTGACCACCCGCGGAACGACGTTTCTTCAGCGCCGATCCGGACGACGCCGGCGGACATGACGTCTCCACGAAGACGGCGGCGAGCGCCGCGACAAGGGGAGGCGCTACCATAGATTTTAAGAGCTTCCAGCACTGAGTTTTGGAATCCCGGAGAGCCCAGCCTTAGTCCGGCTGGCCACTTCAGCCCGCGCTCGAGTTCTCTCCAGCACCGGCCAGCCGTCGACGTATGCCCATTCTGGTCGACTGTCCCGACCGTCTGTCCATATCGACCCCGCGCGGCTCCTCGAGCGCCCGCGCCGTCTCCGCTCCCCGCCGGTTGTCGACAGCCGACACCCGTCTGGGGGCACCAGTCGAGGTGGTCATTGATCATCTCTATCTTCGGGCGGTTATCTCCGTGGGCGGTCATTTTTCTCGCTCCATCACCTCTTGTCCAGCACTATCTCACGAGCGCGCGGAGCCACAGTGGCAGAAG